AACAATAAAATTCTCACGACGTTTCGGCCACAACACAAGTGGCCTTCTTTAGGTGAAAGGAACAAACCTCTGTCGTCCCGACATTTTCGCTTGGAATATTTTGAGGCTTACCTTGTTTTTTTCCTCAATAATTTCTAATTAAATCTGCTTATCTGCGGCACACAGCACACTCCGATCGAATGAGGGCACAGACTAAATATTGAACGTATCAGCAGTAACGAGATCTCTCCAGCGGCTGGACGAAATCCGCGGTGGTCGTAGTAACATGGGGCAGCAGCAGCAGCGACTTTAGAAAGTTATCACTAAAAGCCAACAAAACAAAAGTGCCTAGGGAATACAAGAACCTTAATCTGGCCCTGGGCTAGGCAGCATAGACATAGGGGAATAATACAATCGGAGAACAATGGATTTTGTTGCACCAGCCCACAACCTGCTTGTGTGTATTACTTTGTCTTTGGCTACATTCATGTCGGTGTGTGCGCGTGTGTACGCATAGCACTATAAAGTTGGCAACACGAGTTAAATACCTGGCCATGGTATATTGTGAATGGGAAGTGGTATCTGAGTCTCTCCTGGGCCTCCCCTAGGCCAAGTACTTGATGCGGTGTGTAAACATGAGCACTCGGGAGACAAATGCGGCAGAGAATGGTGCTGGTTACAACTTCTCGTGTGTCGTACTGGTCATAAAACAGGTGGTCACGAACAGCACATGCCCCAGTATTCTCCAAGTCTCCCAATGTATGTTTATGGATGTGTACGTGCCTGTGCGTGCATTCCAGGCCCAAGTACGCACTGCTGGATGAGTGCACGAGCGCCGTGAGCATTGACGTCGAGGGAAAGATTTTCCAGGCAGCCAAGGACGGAGGCATCTCTCTGCTCTCCATCACCCACAGGCCGTCTCTCTGGTGAGGCTGTCCCCTCCTGGCCCTTATCAACTAGCTGTCATTCTATTGTTAAGACTCTTTCGTATGTGTGGGGAGTTTATCAGCAGTGTTTCTATGCTGTTGTCGAGGTTGGTGAATGAGCCATTGGGACAGCTTCAGGAGTAGGCTGGCGAATATGTGAAACGCCGCCGGCGAAAGATCGAAGCGGGCAGTGGCGTTGCCACGTGGCTAAGACCTGTCCTTTGCTATTTCTCTCCCATCACCTGTCTCTGGCAGTGGAGTAGCGTGGTCGGCATGGGCTCTGCTGGTGCAAGATATTAAATGCGTCTACCCCCCCTGGTTCATTTGCCCACCCCCTTTATAGCCTGGCATCTGGCCCCTCGGGCAATCGTGCATTTGCACCACTTACACACTGGATAGCTGTGTCCCTGCTCTCTGATCAACTCTTTTACATAACCAGGATTAATATCTAGGTTTCAGCCACCCACTACTCAATCGGGCGCACGCAAAAAAAAACCCCATCAAATTAGTTGTTTTACTTAATATGGGCTGGGATTCCTCATTTCAACTCCTGAATATGCCCACTGTAGTGGGTGGCGAAAGGTTGAGAAAATAAATGCTCGATATGGCAGCCTAACCATGAACGACCAGGCTTGGGATTTGTACAGCCATCGCTTCACGAATATTTTCGCCAGTAATTTGACGCGGCAAAACTAACGCTGGCTCGCGTGCGTGCACGCGTCATGCATGCAGGAAGTACCACACGCACCTGCTGCAGTTCGACGGCGAGGGCGGCTGGATGTTCGAGCAGCTGGACTCGGCAGCGCGCGTCTCTCTCAGTGACGAGAAGCAGCGTCTCGAGGCGCAGCTGGCCGGCGTGCCGTCCATGCAGCGCCGCCTCGCCGAGCTCTGCACCATCCTAGGCGACGACTCGGTACTTAAGAGCTTACCCGTCGCCAACGAGGGAGTCCCCACTGATACCGTTGTCATGGATACAGTCGTCATGGATACAGTCTCCATGTGAGGCTGCAGCAGTGACGGTGAAGGTGGCGATGCAGTTTGTACCGGCAAGTCGAGCTGGGGCGAGGTCAGTGTAGGGGTTAGAGGGCGCGTAGGGTCACTGAGCCATTGGGAACGGAGTTTGGGGGTCGTCACCCTTCAATAACCCTTTGTACACGAGAGCATATGAATCGGGTTTTAACGCAATTGTTTTGCACGGAACGTTTAAAACACTAAGAGCGTAATAATTTTCCCCACGAAGATGTCCCGATTCAGGGTCGCGATTTGTTTTAAAAATCCATCATCTAATTAAAACTTTGCATTGAATGATCGCATCTCCAGTGGCTGCAGAGGTGACCTGAACCCAGTACATAGAACGTACACAAATTGAAAAATATTAATTCCTACGCATGCGATTCGTGTATCGTGAACTTATTTATATTAAACGATTAATTGAAGGAACATTAACACTCATCGTCACCACCGCATGTGGGTCATAACCGAGTATCGATGCATTAATTCGTCCGTTAAAATCGATCCTTAGGCTTATGATACATTCATCGAATATTGCACACGTGAATCTGATGAAGGAATTTGCAGTTTAGGTTAATGGTACAAACAAAACCTGTAGAAACGAGGCAGAAAACATGAGAAACAATGCAGACCAGACAAAACAAATCTCTGAATTGAATCGCGACTCCAAATCATGGCAATTCATCGAATAGCTGTGGTGTGAATTGTTACATGCCTAGCCTGGTTATAAATTATCTTTGTGAACGTAATCATTTTAATCTCGTTTTCTTGAGCCACAATTGGATTAAGTCAAATCTGTTGAACCAAATCTGTTTTCGTTCGGCTAGAAAGGGCTCAACGACGACCACCGTTCGTCACGAGGTTATCGAGGGGGAAGTAGTGACGGAACAGCTCCTGTCATAAAGCACCTAATCGTTAACACTGTGTTCATGTTATTAATACGATGTTATTAATAGTTATTCTTTTAAGCCACTGTTTGGCATCCAGACATTTCAAGTCTCTTGTTGGTGTTGAATCTTAACTGTAAAACATAAAACATGTATGTCGTTATTTAAGATGTAGGGGGAAAACACCTACTCGATTTACGAATTTTAAATGTCGGTTTGTTTGCGTCAGCTGTGAAACTTGTCAGAAACTAATCTCACGATTACCGAGTGAAAAAGGCATCGAGATTAGCCAGAGGCCTGACGTTTTTACGGCAAAAGAAGAGCACTCTCGTATTTAACGTCGTAGGTCGAAGCGATTCCTGCAGAAGGCACTAACATGTTCGGTGTAGAGAAGTTGTTTACCAACGGCTGTACCCATACAGGCTGATGGGGGGGCCGCCTTCCTTAGCCACGGTGGAGGAATGGCCAAGTCGGCCACCTTCCATCGCGTTGGTTTTAACTTTTTACAAATAATCAAGCAGTGCAGTGCAGTGTTTGTGTGTCTGCCTATTTTTACAAATAAACCTGTGTCTTAGCTCACCCATGGTCTCTTCCTCTATGCGTATGTGCGTTGTGGGGGGGGATTCCGTGGGTCTGCCCACATGGCTGCTAGGCCACAATCTTGTCAAAGAAATGGCCAAACGCACGCAACCAAAACAATAAGCGCGTGTTTACTACAATGGTTCGGCCGTGTACCATATGAATTGTCATCGGCTGCCTAGATCATACATGGAGGCTCCGCAGAGGGGTGGGTTCTTTGTCCATGTTCGGGTAGCAAGTGGTTATGTGAATGGGATGCCGCAGGAGGGCATGCGTTCGCTCCTAAGCCGATGGATTTGTATCTGGATCCTCCAGTTTTCCCATCCACATTTAGAAACATGGGTTTAGAGTATTAAGCCACTTTGTTGAGCTATCAGTTGTGGCCAGGTCGTGTCTCAAAAAGTTACAATAGCTGTGGGACGGCCTTACCTGCTAAAATCAAAAAGATATAGTTTAAATGTATCGAGGAGTGCGTCTGTCATCGTTTGCGAGTGAATGTGTTAGAATGCAAATGTGAAATTATGCAGGTGTGGTTCATTTATAGTGGGAAGCAGTGTCGCGGTTAGCATGATGCGCTACAAATCCAGCAACAAGAGTTCGATTCCCGCTTATGGCCAACAAGTGACGATTATTTTAACTGATCCTGGGCCTCTCCGAGGTCGACTTAGCCCCAAATGAGTACGTGGTGTGTAAACATCACCACTCGGGAGACAGGCAGCTGGGTGTGGTGTTGGCCACTCACCCCCTCGTGTGCCGTGCCGGCCTTCATTGGTGCTCGCTAACAGCACTTGCCCCAAGAGTCTATTAAGGCTATATGGGGGATCTTTGTCTTTTAGTATGTTTATATATGTGGGTAAGCATCTCGGGGTGTGTATATGGTGAAAAGTGGGTACTTTAACCGTACTATGTCCATACCATGTCTGTTATTCTACCCGTGTCTGCCCACGTCAACATGTCTCTCTCCGCATCTTCATCGTTATGCTCGTCTGTTACTTTATTCACGCGTCTGTCTTGTGTGCCCAGGAGGCGTGTTTGTAGTCACGTCAGGGTTTGCAGTAAGGGTTAACAATCGTGGCTTGACGATGGTTTAGAGCAGGGGTGGGGAACGTCCGGGCCCGCGGGGCCCGCGAAATCATTTAGTTTGGCCCTGCCAAGGCAACCGCAGGCGGGACTCGAAATTCAATAAATCTAGGAGCAAACCTGGAAAAGCAGTTGCGAGTAGCAACATCGTCAATACCAGCTAACATCATCACACGCCTCACCAAAGAGAAGCAGTTCCAGCCATCGCATTAGGGGTGAGTTAATTAAATGTTTGACCAAATATAACAGGCAAATTTTTAAGTTGATAATTTTGTATGGCCCGCGAATGATGTTATAAATATGCAAATGGCCCTTGGCAGGAAAAAAGGTTCCCCACCCCTGGTTTAGAGGAACGATATTTTATATGAAATCATTGCCGGTGGCCACTGCGGTCTGGGATCGGTTATCCGTTGGCGCGACGATGATGTCCGTGGTCCAGTTTCCCTGCTGAGCGAGACGTGGGGAGTTGCAGTCATAAGCGCCTGGAGAACCAGACCAAACGGCTGCGTCTGCCAACTCCAAAAGACTGGCTCGTTTGTGTTATTTAATCTTTACAGTATTTATTTGTAAAAAATTAAAACGGCATCATTTAATTTTACTAAAGGTTTACACTGGCGTGTTTGCATATCACATTGCTAGCGGGAGTGGCATACATGTGGCTGTGTACGCAATGCCAAGCGTGTTGTCTGGCTGTGTGAATGCACGTTGAACTGGACAGGAAAAGCAGGAGTGTGTGTACGTGAGTAAAGGTGCATAATCTGGGGTGCACGGGTAGTGTGTGTGCGCGCGCGCGCGCGCGCAAACGTATGTCAGTGTGAACGTGCAGGTGTATCTTGGGGTGTGAATAATGTGTGCATGTGTGTATGTGTGCATGCATGTACGTGTATTGCCGTGTGAGTGGGTGCATGCATGTAGGCAGCTCACTGCGCTGCAAACCCATTGACCCGAGTTTGATTCCCAGCCACAGCTAACTTCAGTGGTTTCCAACCCTATCTTGGGAGTCTTCAGCTTTGAAAGACTGTAAACAGCACTGGGAAGACAGACAGCCAGGCATGGTTCCGACGACACCACCGCCTAACGCACCTGTGCTGTCCTTAATTGATGCTGGCCAACAGCCCTTTCCCCAAAAGTCTGCATGGCTGTAGTGGGAATCGTTCTATGCGGTGAGCACAGCAGCATCAACATGATTTCCCGGTTTTCTTTGCTTCCTCGGATTTGTAGCTCTTGAACTTGGGCAGGTCGGCACTGAACAGCACCTGTGAATGGTCCGCACAGATGGGAACATGAATGCTCTCTGGGTCTGCTTTGGCAGCAGGGCAGTTACACAAGTTAGGCAACATCTTGTCAAAATAAAAAATGAATCCGATTCATACATACGGGAGTCATTTGGAAGGTAATTAGCTGTGGTGTTCGAAAACAAGGCTCATGTACAGAATAAGTCAATGCTTTATTAAGTACAGAAAACTGCACTATCACCATCCCAGCAGAGATGAACAAGCCAGTTCATCAGAGTACATATGAAACCAAGGGATTATGAGCATTTCTGAAAAATTGACTAATTACTTCTGCCTGAATTTACACCCTATGCCCAGGTGAAGAAAGCTTCTTGCTGAATATACGAATTATTAGCCCACACTTTTTAAAGTGTTATAAATGTATGTCTGGCATTATGGAGCTGGCCCAGCGGTAAACGAGGGCTCCTACAGTATCTGCACCAGTGTTGCCAACTGTGTTCGTGTGGAAAGTCGCCCCAAAAAAACCTCAACGTTTGCTAGGTATTAGCAGACAAGTTCTAAAAAGATCGCTTGTCACTTTCGCAAGATTTAGTTGTTTGGGAAACCCCATAACAATGTCACTGGATTTGGACAAAATCTTTCAGTGGGCAACACAGATCTGCATCACAATCAGAAGTGTACTCCCCGAGTAAACAAACGATTAAGTTACACAGCTCTTTTTCAAAGTTGACTCGGCCGGCAGACAAAACGTGGCAGCAAGCGTTTCAAATCAATGATTAAACATGAGAACAAAAATAAAGTTGACTATAATAGTTGTGATCTCAATAATGTCTGTTTAAGAGTACAGAGATGGCCAGCGTGGAGATCCCCAGAGAAGACACGAGTTGGTTCCAAAACGTTGGCGCAGCTACATGAAATGCTTTTGAAGCAAGTTGGGTACGAAATCTAGGAATCGTGAGCAATCAGGCGCACGACGCAGATTGTTTGGACTTTGTAATGGTATTAACGAATCTGATCAATAAAGTGCAGATCTTTGGGTAATTTCCTTATCAATATCGCCCAATGACAGCTTCTTCGTGCTTCTAGGGATATTAGCCCATCATCCACAGAATAGAGGTCAGTGATGCGTCCGACACGGGGTATCCACTGCAAACCGCAACGCGGTACGTGATAGACCACATTGGCCCTTGGCACTCACCGACTGCGCCCAGCCGGCATACGGCCCCCACAGCTCACGGAAGAAGTCCGCTAAATGCACACGCGCACAAACACGGGGCAGACACAATCACCTTGACACTGATACCAAAAAAATCACCACTGCACTAATGCTGACAGTATTATTTTTTATTGTCAACAAGAACGATCACCGTGAACAATGTAGTTTTGGCCAATAAATGGAATAGAACTACGACTAAAAGTTGAATCGATGTCAAGAATGAGAATGTTACAGAGTGGTGTCGGCCACAATACGCAGAGGAGTTAAACCGAACTCTACATACAACCATACACAACTCCCCTCTTATTGTCTTTTGACAAATTCAGTCGGCTGACTCGCCTCTATATTTAAAAAAACCTGTTTAGCAATGGGTGAAACTACGAGTAATCTTGGCCAATGAAAACTAGTACCGACTCCTGTGTACTCTGGTTCCACCACAAACTCAACTACACAAACTCTCTCTTGAAGCCCTCTCGCAGAGAGAAGACCTTGACGTTGCCATTTAGTTCCTGAACATATTGGCCTGTGATGAACAAATATGGAACTAACAATGACAGTGGCTGACATCCCCTGGGGTGGTCAGTTGGTTACATTGCGCACATTTATTGCTATGGCAGTCCAAGTCTACAGGACCACAGTGCACTTCTTCAGGAAATGCTGATGGATGGATGTATATTGAACATCTTTCGCATCGTACGTAGCCAACCGTGCTAATCAGAGGTGCGGGGGAAGGACAACAAACTGCACACAAAAGCAGTTCTAACGAAATGTTTTCAATCAAGATGATTTAAAAGTGCATAGCTCCAGTGGCTTCCTAATGTCCGAAGGGAGAGTGTTACAGGCCGATGCAGAAGCGCATCTGAAGCCGCGTGATGCGGTGACCGTCTTTGTTCAATGGTTAGCCAAAAACCGCTGTGAGGATGACCGGAGTTTGCATGATGGTTTACGATCCATGGCAAGATCAGCAAGATATTGTGGTTTATTTATGGGAAGCAATTCGTGTATAATGAGTGCGACCTTATGTATTCGTTCGGCCAGCAGAAGCCAATGCAGCTCAGCGAGCACTGGATGGACATGGTCGGATCTTGAATAAAGGCTGTGCGCTTTATACACGTCTGTGTGTAAAGTATCCGTTGGGCTGCTTGTGTTTGTCCGTGAACAGCTGACATCCATGCGAGTGTGTGTGGGCGCGTACGTACGCGTATTTGTGTATACACATCTGTCCGTGTGAGTGTGTGTGCGTCTGCGTGCGTGCGTACTCACCCACTGCAACGTAGGTCTTGTCGGTCAGGCTCTTGCGCCCACTGCCCAGCGTGGTGTGGTAGTCTCGCTGTGCGATCTGCCACACGTGCGTGTCCACTGGTACGGCATGCGGTTTGTCCAGCGACATGAGGCACACGCAGTCAGCCACCTGCAATTGACAACGGTCCGGGAACGTCGATTTAAAAGACAAAACATTTCCAGCGAAAGGGGGGCAGTGACTTGGCTCACAGGACTTTGGGGGGCCACCTGCCAGGGCTTGACTACAAATTCTACCTTTGAGCCCAAGTGAAACCTTTCCTCCTCTCTCCACTTTTCTACAGTTTTAGCGTTTAACGCACCACCTGTTTATTAAGAGTAAACGTTACAGGTGGTCCCTGTCGCCAAAGATTAAATACGACAAATTGACGTGCAGATGTGGATACCAATCATCACTGTATTACCATATGCCACGAAGTTATGCCAGGCACTTAACGGAATATTACATTTTACTAGATTGTGATGTTCTGAATGTTTGCATGATCTAAACTGATTATTGCTTGTAACATGATGAAATTATAAACAAGTTAGAAACATTGTGCAACATGCATGAATTCTGTAATGCTTTCCAACGTGCTTATCTTTGGAAGCATTCAACTAGCAGTATGGAAGATGATGTAGTAGCTATTTACATATTTGTAAATTGTCTCCAAGCTTTGGGCATCCCTTTGATCAACGACATCAATTTCTCAATAGCAATACAACTATACACGAAGGTTTTACTGGTAGGAACCTCCTGGTTACACCAGCCCACAGGGGATTATTGTGTCCGTCCGTCGTGCATCCAAAAATGGGAGGGGTAGGGGTGGGGCTGGGTGGCAAGGGGAGGGTGGGGAGGGGCTGGGTGGGGAGGGTGGGGCTGGGTGGGGGGTGGGAGGGGTGGGGCTGGGTGGGAAGGGGCTGGTTACCCCGTGGTGCCCTTATAAAACTCAACGTTTAACCTACTCACGCCGGCTTGTGCCCGCCCTCACAGTCGGGCATATTTGCGGAATACACCACGCCGCCGTTGACCCTGGCCATTGACCGAGCAACCCAACGTTCCTAACAGCTCCCTCCGCAGGAATGTGTTGTTCATATTGGATCATCTTTAGGAGAGTTACCTTTCTCTCCACAGTCCACCGTAGATGGACAGACAGAGCTAATGCATTAATGCTTTCAAACGATCATCATCGCCGCCGCCACCACACCGACCTTGGCCCCTACGCCGGGCAGTTGCACGAGCTGCGCCCGGGCTTCGGCGAGCGGCGCGGTGCGGAGCGACGTCAACCAAGGGGCGCCACCCCTCTGCAGCACGGCGCGAGCACTCTTGGCCACGAAGCCGGCGCGGTAGCCAAATCCCAGCTCACGCAGCTGCTCCTCCACACCGTCCCCTGCGTAGACACGGAAAGTCGGGTGATTAAGGGGTAAATGGAACGAGATATTGCGAGGTGGCCGGGTGGCTCTGAAACCACTGAAACCCTCAGTACGATTCTGGGTTTCAGCCGCCCGTGATTAAACCCGGTTCTCAAGTGTACCGAGTCGGTGGTCTTCGCCCGGTCACCAGTAATTGCACCAAAAGCCCACGACATTCAATTTGGTTTTGGAATGCAACATTGCTTTGATGTGGCAGAGTGGAAAAGTGCTGCCCTCTGCTGTATGGAACTGAGGTCACAAAATTATTTCAGAGGTAGCTCTGCGGTATCTGTGCCACCCTTCCAACCCCATTACACCACATATTTGAGAGTTGATTGTATTAATACTAATATGATGATGATGATGATGTTTATCATCGTCATGATGCTGCTGCTGTGACGACATGCCATGCACAAAACGCACCAGAGAGCGCCTGCAGAGAGGGGAAAGCGTGGTAGGCGACGCCATCCTGCGTGGACACGAGCTCGCCCAGCGAAGCACACAGCCGCTCCAGCATGACGGTAATGCGCGAGATGTGGTTGTTGGAGGTGCAGATGAAGGAGAAGAGACATTCCACGGGGTCCTGACGAAGCACCCGCACTCCTGCACATACACAGGAGGGAGTATTCCTGTCATCCGCGATTTTATCCAAGGTTAAAGAAGTCGCCTGGAAGTTGTGGAAAATTCATGCAAAGATAGGCAGATACCCGTGCCGACACTGTAAAGTTATTTTCGTGGACATGCATTGATAGTGGAAGCCACCAATACCACCTCCATCACATCATCGCAGATGGAGCGGAGCGTCTGTCCGCGACGCGTGGAATCATCATGAGCTTGTAGGCATCACCGAGAGCACGCGTGCGTGTACATGCGCACATGAGTGTGCGTGCGTGCGCGCATGAGTCTGTGTACATGCGCACATGAGTGTGTGTGTATGTGTGCGTGCGCGTGCATGCGAAGATGCGAGCGAGCATGCGCACCAGGAAAGTGTCCGGCGACACGAGCGAAGTGCGGATCTACGCGACTCCACTCTTCGTACAGCTGCTCCAGTGCCACTCCCAGCTGCAGGTAATCACGCAGCGCCGCTCCGCTCCCCTCCTCGTCACCACCGTCTTCCACCACATTGTTGCTACCGCCGATGATATCGTCGGTGCCGTTTACATTGGGAGTCTTGCCACCGCCTCGCTTGGATTTGCGCTTGTTGGCGTGGCAGGGTTGGGACCCCGGGTCCTGCTCCTATGATGCAAAATTGAATGAGATTTGAAAGCAATCCATGTTTTTTTTTGGAAGCGAATTGTGATTCAGTGTTTTCTCAACCACCAGAGATGGAGCGATGAAATGAGGTCGCACGCAGGAAACTAGATGGATTGTTGCGTCGAAGGACTGAAATGGCGACAGGTTTGGGATGCCTCCATCCAGCAGTGGCTATATCAGGGCTGATGGTGATGTTTTTACATTTACCCCATCCCATTTTTTTGAAGTTCAGAACTCAGTTTGCCTACATGCATTCTTTGAAGTGTTTTACAGCCAGGCCAGTGTCTACTGCAGGTCACTGTGGTTGAGATGACAAGTTAATGGCAGAAACCCACAGACTCGCATCGAGACGCAAAGACTCACACAGCAACCCACAGGCTTGCATAGCGACCCAGTGAGAAGCTGGAATTTGGTGGCAGTGGCTTCATAATCACCGCATTCTCCACCAGACGGGCACATGCAGCTTCTCACAAATGGTCTGGTGGGCGCCCAGCACTCGTGTTCCAATTCACCGTAAGTCCACCTGTGCGAGTTATCACCAAACACCGGAAAAAACTGGGGTGGAATTGTAGCCTCCTCAACCTGGAGTCACAAAACATCACCACTGAACCATTGCATTAAAGTGTCGTCTTAGATTTCAACAAGAAGGATGATGCCGTGGTGTAATGATTGGAACACTCGAATTGCAATTCAGAAGTCACCAGTTCAACCTCCCGGCAAGGCGGTTGAAACAATGGACAAGTTTCTAAAAATCTACCTCGACCTCTGTCCATGAGTTTAAATGGGTACATCAAAAAGTTTATCGGCCGATCGCGTGTGGTGGGGGTAAGCGTGGATACTCCCACCTCTTCTTCAGTGTGGAGAAGAGTACAGTACAGGCGTACCTCGCTTTATTGCGCTTCGCTATAATTGCGCTTTTTTAAAATGTCGCATCTCAAGATAAATGTCGCATCTCAAGATTCTCAACTTAGCAAGAGAATAAAATTCGATGAATAATTACATACGTACATCATTTCAAATCTGATTGGCTTATCATCATCATCTGCAACTCCCGCTTTTTGCATGTGAACTTAGCGAGTCAGTCGGCGTAATTTTTGCTTTCTATTCATTTACGTACATCGTTCATTTAGGCATACTGTAGCTGCATTGCGCGTTGAATATAGTGTAATTTGAACGTGTTTTAAGGCTTTTATATGCATTTGCAAGTGAAAAAAAAAGCATGTGACTTGCTTTATTGCCATTTTCGGTTTATTGCGGTGCTCTGGTCCCTAAGGAGCAATTACACCGAGGTACGCCTGTACCAAATAGCCTGGAGAGGAGCTCTCTAAAGAGCTCTCTGTAGAGGAGGCCCTTCCACCAGCAGTGTCATCAGCAAAGCAAATTGCAGGGCTGCACTTTCACCACAGTGACACAACCAGCTCTTGTTGCGGCCACGGCCCTTCTATTAAAAGCTAAACTATTTTTTTTTATTGTATCAGGTAAGGCCCACTGAGCTCTATAGCTCTTTTTCAGAAGCCACCTGGCCACAAATTTGGAAATGTATAGCAGCCAGATACTCTTAAGCGCGTGTTTCTAAATGTGGAGTGAATAAAACCGGGGTGGCCCAGAGAAAGAATCCACGTGACTACAGGGAGAACATGCTCCATCACAAACATACAGCTCAATGAAGTGGCTGATCACTTGGAAATTTCTAGCGGCCAAATGCTTTAAACACGTTTCTAAATGTAGAGGGAAAAACCGGAGGACCTGGAGAAAAATCCCCAAGACCACGGGCAGAACATGCAAACTCCAAACATACAGCGGTGGGTCAGGGTCGGGATGGAACCCACGACCTCCTGTAAACCAAGCGAGGTAGTTAACATCTCCTAGCCACCGTGGCGCCCGCGGTTATCTCACCGGGGCGAGCTTGCCAGCCGCCTTGCGCCTCTTGCCGCCGTGCTCCGTCTCCTCCACGGCGGTGGCGGGTGGCCCCGGGGGCAGCACGCGGTACAGGAGGAGGTCTCCCCGCTGGGACAGCTCGTACAGGCGGCGTCCCAGGACGCAGCGCCAGAGACCACACGGCTCCTGCTGGCGCCACCTGCAACAAATCCCATGACTCATGGTGAGACCTCCTTTGCCAGTAACAAGATATAGGAATAGGTTTTACCCTTTTAACTGGCACAAAAACCGACAAGGACAGTGCATATTATTATTATTAGAGTTGTCTTTTTTTGTTTGCATTTTGACTGCTTGTGTTGTGGTTATTGCAAACATGATGTCTTGAATAAAGGTGTCAGTTTTTGTGCCAGTTAAAAGGGTAAAACCTATTCCTAAATCCCATGACTCATGATGGGGTTACCACCTCTTGTACTGCTGTGGGGGGGGGTCTGTACTCTGCACGGGACTTCTCTCTCACTCTCCAGGGGTATCCTTGCCAGAGGGGTTCACACACCAGGGGTGTCCCTATAATTCGGGGTCCTCCTCTCCTAAATAGCCTTCTTTACGAGGGTGCCTCCTCTCAAATAGACCGGGGAGGGGGGTCAAATATAATCACAGCTGCACTGTTAGCTGAGATTTCAAAAGCAACTGCGTTATGACCGCAGTTCACTGCAGGTTAATTAAAAAAAACTCTCATCCATTGTAACTTTCATAATGCTGTTTGTCGCTGGCTGCTTGGCGTTGTGGGCCTTTTGCTCGGCAACCATGATAATAATAAAACACCCCCCCACATCTTTAATTCGGAGAGAGACCCCCTCCCAAGCAGTGAGGGGCTGGACCCCTTCTCCAGGGGTCCAGCCCCTCGCCCACCCGAAGGCCCCTCGCCCACCCGAAGGCCCCTCGCCCACCCGAAGGCCCCTCGCCCACCCGAAGGCCCCTCGCCCACCCGAAGGCCCCTCGCCCACCCGAAGGCCCCTCGCCCACCCGAAGGCCCCTCGCCCACCCGAAGGCCCCTCGCCCACCCGAAGGCCCCTCGCCCACCCGAAGGCCCCTCGCCCACCCGAAGGCCCCTCGCCCACCCGAAGGCCCCTCGCCCACCCGAAGGCCCCTCGCCCACCCGAAGGCCCCTCGCCCACCCGAAGGCCCCTCGCCCACCCGAAGGCCCCTCGCCCACCCGAAGGCCCCTCGCCCACCCGAAGGCCCCTCGCCCACCCGAAGGCCCCTCGCCCAGCCGAAGGCCCCTCGCCCACCCGAAGGCCCCTCGCCCACCCGAAGGCCCCTCGCCCCCCCGAAGTCCCCTCGCCCACCCGAAGGCCCCTCGCCCACCCGAAGGCCCCTCGCCCACCCGAAGGCCCCTCGTCCACCCGAAGGCCCCTCGCCCACCCGAAGGCCCCTCGCCCACCCGAAGGCCCTCGCCCACCCGAAGGCCCCTCGCCCACCCGAAGGCCCCTCGCCCACCCGAAGGCCCCTCGCCCACCCGAAGGCCCCTCGTCCACCCGAAGGCCCCTCGTCCACCCGAAGGCCCCTCGCCCACCCGAAGGCCCCTCGCCCACCCGAAGGCCCCTCGCTCACCCGAAGGGCCCTCGCCCACCCGAAGGCCCCTCGCCCACCCGAAGGCCCCTCGCCCACCCGAAGGCCCCTCGCCCACCCGAAGGCCCCTCGCCCACCCGAAGGCCCCTCGCCCACCCGAAGGCCCCTCGTCCACCCGAAGGCCCCTCGCCCACCCGAAGGCCCCTCGCCCACCCGAAGGCCCCTCGCGCACCCGAAGGGCCCTCGCCCACCCGAAGGCCCCTCGCCCACCCGAAGGCCCCTCGCCCACCCGAAGGCCCCTCGCCCACCCGAAGGCCCCTCGCCCACCCGAAGGCCCCTCGCCCACCCGAAGGCCCCTCGCTCACCCGAAGGGCCCTCGCCCACCCGAAGGCCCCTCGCCCACCCGAAGGCCCCTCGCCCACCCGAAGGCCCCTCGCCCACCCGAAGGCCCCTCGCCCACCCGAAGGCCCCTCGCTCACCCGAAGGGCCCTCGCCCACCCGAAGGCCCCTCGCCCACCCGAAGGCCCCTCGCCCACCCGAAGGCCCCTCGTCCACCCGAAGGCCCCTCGTCCACCCGAAGGCCCCTCGCCCACCCGAAGGCCCCTCGCCCACCCGAAGGACCCTCGCTCACCCGAAGGGCCCTCGCCCACCCGAAGGCCCCTCGCCCACCCGAAGGCCCCTCGCCCACCCGAAGGCCCCTCGCCCACCCGAAGGCCCCTCGCCCACCCGAAGGCCCCTCGCTCACCCGAAGGGCCCTCGCCCACCCGAAGGCCCCTCGCCCACCCGAAGGCCCCTCGCCCACCCGAAGGCCCCTCGCCCACCCGAAGGCCCCTCGCCCACCCGAAGGCCCCTCGCCCACCCGAAGGCCCCTCGCCCACCCGAAGGCCCCTCGCCCACCCGAAGGCCCCTCACCCACCTGAAGGCTTGCCCGCACGCCAGGGTAATGTCCAGCCTCAGCTCCGCCTGGCGGCACGGGAGGGAGCGCCAGGCCCGCGTCCCCATCGCGACCCCCTTGGATGCGGGACAACCGAGACCCCCGGCCACACGGATCCCCCGAGACCCCCGGTCACACGGATCCCTCGAGACCCCCTTGGATGCGGGACAACCGAGACCCTCGGTCACGCGGAACCCGAATTTGGCGCCGGATCCGCGCGGCGTGAGAGCGATGTCGCGCTCGGCGCAGCGAGGACAGACATCTTACGTAGGGAGAGAGAAGTTTCATTTATTAGGTACTCGCTGTACTACCCGGCTTCGCCCGGGACTTGGATTCACCACACCCGGCCGCCTTTGTCTCCCCAGTGGCGATGTTCACACCACAACAGTTACTCGTTACACCTACTCAAGAATAATAACTCGCGCCAGGCACACGAAGCACGATTGCTGATCCTCGATTGCTATAGGGCAGTGTTCTTCATTGCAAGGCCCGCGGGTCACTGGCGGCCCCTGGTGGCCTTTAGTGCGGTCCCTGGTGGCCTTTAGTGCGGTCCCTGGTGGCCTTTAGTGTGGTCCCTGGTGGCCTTTAGTGCGGTCCCTGGTGGCCTTTAGTGCGGTCCCTGGTGGCCTTTAGTGCGGTCCCTGGTGGCCTTTAGTGTGGTCTCTGGTGGCCTTTAGTGTGGTCCCTGGTGGCCTTTAGTGTGGTCTCTGGTGGCCTTTAGTGCTGTCCCTGATGGCCTTTAGTGCGGTCTCTGGTGGCCTTTAGTGCGGTCCCTGGTGGCCTTTAGTGCGGCCCCTGGTGGCCTTTAGTGCGGTCCCCGGTGGCCTTTAGTGTGGTCTCTGGTGGCCTTTAGTGCGGTCCCAGGTGGCCTTTAGTGTGGTCCCAGGTGGCCTTTAGTGCGGTCCCTGGTGGCCTTTAGTGCGGTCCCTGGTGGCCTTTAGTGTGGTCTCTGGTGGCCTTTAGTGTGGTCCCTGGTGGCCTTTAGTGTGGTCTCTGGTGGCCTTTAGTGCTGTCCCTGATGGCCTTTAGTGCGGTCTCTGGTGGCCTTTAGTGCGGTCCCTGGTGGCCTTTAGTGCGGTCTCTGGTGGCCTTTAGTGCGGTCTCTGGTGGCCTTTAGTGCGACCCCTGGTGGCCTTTAGTGCGACCCCTGGTGGCCTTTAGTGCGGTCCCTGGTGGCCTTTAGTGTGGTCTCTGGTGGCCTTTAGTGCGACCGCTGGTGGCCTTTAGTGCGACCCCTGGTGGCCTTTAGTGCGACCCCTGGTGGCCTTTAGTGCGGTCCCTGGTGGCCTTTAGTGCGGCCCCTGGTGGCCTTTAGTGCGATCCCCGGTGGCCTTTAGTGTGGTCTCTGGTGGCCTTTAGTGCGACCCCTGGTGGCCTTTAGTGCGACCCCTGGTGGCCTTTAGTGCGGTCCCTGATGGCCTTTAGTGTGGTCTCTGGTGGCCTTTAGTGCGGTCCCTGATGGCCTTTAGTGTGGTCTCTGGTGGCCTTTAGTGCGGTCCCTGATGGCCTTTAGTGCGGCCCTGGTGGCCTTTAGTGCGGTCCCTGGTGGCCTTTAGTGTGGTCTCTGGTGGCCTTTAGTGCGGTCCCTGATGGCCTTTAGTGCGGCCCCTGGTGGCCTTTAGTGCGGTCCCTGGTGGCCTTTAGTGCTGCCCCTGGTGGCCTTTAGTGCGGCCCCTGGTGGCCTTTAGTGTGGTCTCTGGTGGCCTTTAGTGCGGTCCCTGGTGGCCTTTAGTGCGGTCCCTGGTGGCCTTTAGTGCGACCCCTGGTGGCCTTTAGTGCGACCCCTGGTGGCCTTTAGTGCGGTCCCTGGTGGCCTTTAGTGTGGTCTCTGGTGGCCTTTAGTGCGACCGCTGGTGGCCTTTAGTGCGACCCCTGGTGGCCTTTAGTGCGACCCCTGGTGGCCTTTAGTGCGGTCCCTGATGGCCGTTAGTGCGGCCCCTGGTGGCCTTTAGTGCGATCCCCGGTGGCCTTTAGTGTGGTCTCTGGTGGCCTTTAGTGCGACCCCTGGTGGCCTTTAGTGCGACCCCTGGTGGCCTTTAGTGCGGTCCCTGATGGCCTTTAGTGTGGTCTCTGGTGGCCTTTAGTGCGGTCCCTGATGGCCTTTAGTGTGGTCTCTGGTGGCCTTTAGTGCGGTCCCTGATGGCCTTTAGTGCGGCCCTGGTGGCCTTTAGTGCGGTCCCTGGTGGCCTTTAGTGTGGTCTCTGGTGGCCTTTAGTGCGGTCCCTGATGGCCTTTAGTGCGGCCCCTGGTGGCCTTTAGTGCGGTCCCTGGTGGCCTTTAGTGCTGCCCCTGGTGGCCTTTAGTGCGGCCCCTGGTGGCCTTTAGTGTGGTCTCTGGTGGCCTTTAGTGCGGTCCCTGGTGGCCTTTAGTGCGGTCCCTGGTGGCCTTTAGTGCGGCCCCTAGTGGCCTTTAGTGTGGTCTCTGGTGGCCTTTAGTGCGGTCCCTGGTGGCCTTTTGTGCGGTCTCTGGTGGCCTTTAGTGCGACCCCTGGTGGCCTTTAGTGCGGTCCCTGATGGCCTTTAGTGCGGCCCCTGGTGGCCTTTAGTGCGGTCCCTGATGGCCGTTAGTGCGGTCCCTGGTGGCCTTTAGTGTGGTCTCTGGTGGCCTTTAGTGCGGTCCCTGGTGGCCTTTAGTGCGGCCCCTGATGGCCTTTAGTGCGGTCTCTGGTGGCCTTTAGTGCGGCCCCTGATGGCCTTTAGTGCGGCCCCTGGTGGCCTTTAGTGTGGTCTCTGGTGGCCTTTAGTGCGGTCTCTGGTGGCCTTTAGTGCGGTCCCTGATGGCCTTTAGTGCGGCCCTGGTGGCCTTTAGTGCGGCCCCTGATGGCCTTTAGTGCGGTCTCTGGTGGCCTTTAGTGCGGCCCCTGATGGCCTTTAGTGCGGCCCCTGGTGGCCTTTAGTGTGGTCTCTGGTGGCCTTTAGTGCGGTCCCGGTTGGCCTTTAGTGCGGCCCCTGATGGCCTTTAGTGCGGTCTCTGGTGGCCTTTAGTGCGGCCCCTGATGGCCTTTAGTGCGGCCCCTGGTGGCCTTTAGTGTGGTCTCTGGTGGCCTTTAGTGCGGTCTCTGGTGGCCTTTAGTGCGGTCCCTGATGGCCTTTAGTGCGGCCCTGGTGGCCTTTAGTGCGGCCCCTGATGGCCTTTAGTGCGGTCTCTGGTGGCCTTTAGTGCGGCCCCTGATGGCCTTTAGTGCGGCCCCTGGTGGCCTTTAGTGTGGTCTCTGGTGGCCTTTAGTGCGGTCCCGGGTGGCCTTTAGTGCGGTCCCGGGTGGCCTTTAGTGTGGTCTCTGGTGGCCTTTAGTGCGGTCTCTGGTGGCGTTTAGTGCGGTCCCTGGTGGCCTTTAGTGCGGTCTCTGGTGGCCTTTAGTGCGGTCTCTGGTGGCGTTTAGTGTGGCCCCTGGTGGCCCCGTTGACAATACAAAACAAGTGAAAAAAACAACCCATCATCATCGTGCTGCTGTCAAACCCCCAATGGTTTCAAATGTGCGGCGTAAAGAACACCGCCATGGGTAGAGACCCAGACGCATTTGTTGCAACAGGTCACACCGCTCTATAACGGGGACATTTTTGGTTGTTTGATGGCAATATCAAAGTATGAAAAATAACAATAGGTTTTACCCCTTTCTGGCAAGAAAACAGGTGTACGTGTGGTTAACGCAGTACTTGGTTCGTTGCAAAAGGTTTATATTTGGTGTTTGAACAGCTTAACACAACTCCTGTATTATTACTGCCACAAATGGTACCAACCGATTGTTGTTATGGCACACCGCGAATTCACTGTCATGTCGAAAACTGCCGCTTTTAAACAAATCCCGCCAGACAACACTGGCCCAAAAGGCCGGGTAAGCTTATTTTGCAGGACTACAATGTTATTTGTATTCTTATAATTACTCTAGTTTGAAAACGGGGGGGGGGAGGGTAATTTTATTTATTATAAATCTATAACTCGTAAAACATTTGAATATAATGTATTATTGTATCACCAATGTATTATTAAATTAGTATTAATCAACTAATGATGTATTATTAACTTATAACAAAATAACCAAGTAATTGATAACAAATCAATTGTCAATTTAGAACTTTTTTACAGCATTTTTAATGTATTTAACTTGTACTTTGTTATTCATTTATTTACCCATGCAAGATGGCCGACCTGGCCTCCCTGACTTCCTTACTATATACGTCATCACGACGTATCACGTGCCCGGCTCAGGGGCCAATCACGTGTCGGCGTGGCGCGGCCGGGTTCCACGAGGCTGTTGCTGCCGCTGCTTCTGCAGGGTGAGAGGGGGTCCCCTCGATCCCGGCTCCCCCAGCGTCTCCCGACCCTTCCACTCCAACGGGACTCTCCCCGGGGCCGTGTGTGCTCCACGCGCGGTGTGTAGGGACCCTGGCTGGTGTGTTGGGACCCTGGCTGACCCTGGCTGGTGTGTTGGGACCCTGGCTGGTGTGTTGGGACCCTGGCTGGTGTGTTGGGACTCTGGCTGGTGTGTTGGGACTCTGGCTGGTGTGTTGGGACCCTGGCTGGGGTGTGTTGGCTGGTGTATAGGAGTTGTGGGGTGTGTGTAATGTGGCTCATGATGAACAGTATATGCGTCCTGGCTGGTGTGTGTGTGATCCCACTAATATCTGGCTCACGACCGGGCCCTTGTGCTGCAGGAGTTCCAGCCGAGTCAGCATGTCGGGCCTCCCCTCCGAGACGTGGCAGCCTTCCACCATCACGCTGGAAACAACGTGAGGCCCCTGCATGCAGACCACCGCCATCGAAATTGGTGATGGTGTGAGCAGTTTTTTGTCGTGTGTGCTGGCAGTGGTGGGAGCAGGAGTGTAGCTGTTGGCGAATCTATGCACCTGGTGACCCGAGGTCGATTTCCGCTCACGGCCAACACCAGTGACGATTATTTGAACCGGTCCTGGGCCTTCCCTAGGTCGACTCGGCCTCAAATTAGTACCTGGTGGGATGTGTAAAAACATGGCTACTGGGGAGACAAAGGCGGCTGGGCGTGGTGCTGGCCACCCACCCCCTCGTGCGCCGCGCTCGCTAACAGCACTTGCCGCAACAGCCTGTTAAGGATATATGGGGCACCTTTGTCTTTGTTGCAAATGGTAGTGGTGGTAATGTCAGCGGTGGTGATGTGAGCGGTGGTGATGGTTATTGGTGGTGCGAGTGTTGGTTGTATCTTCAGTGATGGCGTATGCGGTGGTGGTTACTGCCCATGGTGATGTTGGTGGAGTTGTGTATGTGAAGTGGTAAGTGATCTTAGTAGAGGTTCATGTCACTGGTGCTGTGTGGGGGAGTGGTGGTGTAGCAGTTAGCGCGCTACGCTATGAACCTGGCCCTCCGAGTTTGAGTCCCACTCACGGCCACCAACACCAGTGACGATTATCTGAATCGGTCCTGGGCTTCCCCTAGGTCCGACTCAGCCTCAAATTAGTACATAGAGCGGTTTGTAAACATCGCCACTAGGGAGACAAAGGCGGCCGGGCGTGGTGCTGGCCACCCACCCCCTCGTGTGCCCGTGCCGGCCTTCATAGGTGCTCGCTAACAGCACTTGCCCCAACAGTTTGTTGGAGGCTATATGGGGGATTTGTATCTTTGTTAGCAGTGGAGATATCAGTAATGGTAGTTAGTAAAGGAGTTAATTGATGGCTATGTCATTTGAAATGCCAATCCTCTTGGAGGTGTCGATGGCTGTGTCAGTAGTCGCTCTCATCCGTGGCGGTGTTGCGCGTGTGTCGTATGTACGTCACTTGTATATCGCATATTTGTGGTATGTATGTCGCCTGTATATCGCATGTGTGTCGCGTGTACTTCAGCTCTATATTGCATGTGTGTTGAATGTATGTCGCCTGTATATTGAATGTCCGTCGTGTGGTGCAGGATGGGCACCGTGGTGTTGGAGCTCTACTGGATGCACGCTCCTCGCACGTGCCGCAACTTTGCTGAGTTGGCGCGGCGCGGCTACTACAATGGCACTCGCTTTCACCGGATCATCCGCGGATTTATGATCCAGGGCGGAGACCCTACGGGGACAGGTAACATCTCTCCTACGCCTTCTCTCACATCACTCTACTCCTCTCTACGAACTCTCCTTCCTCTCATCGCTCTACCTCCCTCCATGCGCTCTCCCCGCACTATTCCTCTTCATGCACTTCTATAACTCTCCCCTCTCCTCTCACTCTACTACACACACTCGCCTACCTTACCCCTCACTCGACTCCCCTCCGCACACGCTCCTACCGTTCCCTTCTCGTGTCTCTCTACTCCCCCCCTCCAGTTTCTGCCTCGATCTTCTTGCAGCTGTCATTATTGGTCTTGTGTGTCGTGTAGGCAATGCAGAGGAGTCTCCTAAAGCACCCTCACTTCAAGAGCTTGAATCGTCCTTTCCATTTCATTGAACATTGGCTCTTGCATAAAGCAAAGGGCACGTTAGAGTACACATTTCATGCGTAGAGGCCCCTACGCTTCTTTACAAACTGTAGTAATGCTCATGGATAGGTGTGCGTGTGGTGAAGTGTGTATTGGGAGCAGTAGTGAAGCAGTACGCTGCGCTACGAACCCGGCGACCTGAGTTAGATTCCCGCTCACGGCCAACACCGGTGGCTGTGTAACAATCTTTTTTTGTTCCTGGGTAGTAAGTGTTATTTACTAATTGCTTATGCCTCAAGTACAGAAAATGGCTATTATTCCCCACAAACTTTGCTTTTGTGACCAGGACAGTGATATTTTGAAATTCACCTATTTTCAATGAGAAAACGTGGTGTGCGTTTGTGTCATTCCTTCACATAAAGTCCTGGTCACAAAAGCAAAGTTTGTGGGGAATAATAGCCATTTTCTATACTTTTGAGGCATAAGCAATTAGAAAATAACACTGACTACCCAGGAACAAAAATCGTGTTACATAATTATCTGAACACGTCCTGGGCCTCCCGGAGGTCCACTCGGCCTCAAATGAGTACCTGGTGCGGTGTGTAAACATCGCCACTGGGGAGACAAAGGCGGCCGGGCGTGGTGTTGGCTACTCAGCCCCACGTGTGCTGTGCCGGGGTTCATAGGTGTTCGTTAACAGCACCTCCCACAACAGTCTATTAAGGCTATATGGAGGATCTTTGTTTTTGTTGTTGGGGTGCCAGCTAACAGCATTTGCCCCAACAGTCGGTTAAGGCTATACGGGGGTTCTTTGTATACTGGGTGTCTCTGCGTGCGATTTCTTAAGTGTACTGCGCTTTGAATCTGGCTCCTGAATTGGATTCCCAGCCACAAAATCAGTTGTGTGCGGTGAACCTGTTCTGGGCCTCTACTAGTTCACCTTAGCATTACAAGCGCAATGTGTAAACAACAGCAATGGGAAGACAGGGGACCGGGCATGTTGCTGGCCGCCTCCTCGCGTGCCATGCCGATCTTCATTAGGTGCTCGCGAACAGTACTTTCCTCAAACGCTCTGTGTAGTTACACGGCTGGGTCTGTGTGTCTGTTCAACAGGCCGAGGAGGAGCTTCCATCTATGGAAAACACTTCGAAGATGAGATCCACCCAGACCTGAAGCACACAGGTGAGTTGACCCAAAACAATTCATACATTCAAATAAAAGATACTTGTGCTCGCGACACGTGTGTCCGATCAGGGGTGTTGGCTAAGAGGTCAGAGTGCTGAGCCGGTACCACTGACATCCTAAGTTCGAAACTAGGCAGGTGTCTGATTAAACCGGGCTATCAACTGTTGTCTAGCAAGGTGATGGTTTTATCACTTTCAGTTTGGTTCTGCACTTAGGTTGGATGAACTCCAGTTCTTGAGGATTAACATCTCATTTTGAATGCCATGTGACGAACCTCACTTTCCTATGCAGAGCAGGTGAGCTGCCCCCTACTCTGTGTTATATCAGAGGACACTTGAATGGTCCTCAGAGGTTGCTCTGCGATATCCACTTCCGTGGGCCATTCTCCAACACGAAGCGTTGCACTGCTCTGAGAAATGCAAGAGGATACATCTCGTGGCACGACTCCCGATAGCACAATTTGGATAAACTTGGGTTCAAAATTACAGGAGGCAAAACATCGGTTCTTCGCTCAACTTTATCACGCATCACCACACAGGTGCAGGCATCATCTCGATGGCGAACTCGGGGCCCAACACCAACGGCAGCCAGTTCTTCATCACGCTGGGGCCCACGCAGTGGCTCGACGGCAAGCACTCCATCTTCGCCCGCGTGGCGCGCGGCATGAGCACGGTCAACCGCATCGGGCTCGTCGAGACGGTGGCTCAGGACCGGCCCGTCGAGGAGATCAGCATCATACGCGCCACCTGCTCGGACTGACGCGTCACACACACACAAACACACACACGCACTCTCGCACCTCGGACATACGCGGAGGCGAACACAGTCCCGCACAGGCGAACACAGTCCCGCACAGGCGAACACAGTCCCGCACAGGCGAACACAGTCCCGCACAGACACGCGCACGGTCACACGGGGATATGCAAGAATAATGGCCGCCGTTCGCCACGGAGTGGCAGTCACATCACCACGGCACTTGCGCCAGGATCGATGCGATTGGAGGCCGCGTCACGCGTCCTAGTGGCAGGTTGTCACGAGACAGACCCAGGTGGTATTACGGGTTAACCGCGATGACTGGCAGATGCAGCACCCGTGCTCTCAATTTGTATTTGGGTGCATTTCCTCCCATCATCCATGTGTAATGTAACTTGGGGTTTTGAACCCTTGTCAAATGCATGTTAAACGAAGCCACCTCTTGTACTATGTTGTCGTTGGCTACACCACCTCCACACAGTTAAACCAAAACCGCCTTGTGTTCGTCTTCCCTCGGTGACAGCTCCTCCGTGCAGTAGACATTGCTCATCTTCTCAACGTCTGTGGCGCTGACATCTGGGCTCCGCTCCCCTGCCCTCCTCATGCCCCCAACACTATTATGTCATTTAGCCCCCCCCCCTACTTTTGGAGTTATCACAGACGCACCATTCGACATGGATGTACATGCGTGGCTGGCTGGAGGTGTTCACCTGCTGTCTCTTAAGAGGCCCTGTGCGTGCTGTAAGGTGTTAACTATTTTCTTACCATAAAACATTTTTTTAAAACTTGTAATCCGTTTTTTTGCACAAACGTGAATTTCGAAACTGAATTTCTGTTTTCGGCCGAAACCGAAAGTAAACCGAAAGTAAACTTTTTGGCTTCGGCCGAAACAGAAACTCTGCCGAAAGGGGCCATTTGCCAACTTTCGGCACCGAAACCGAATTTCGGTCGGCCTCTACTCGAGATGATACAACCTTTGTGTTGGTGTCTCGGGAAACATTGATGCCCACACAACAGTTGGTAAGACCCATGGAAAAAATTATTGATATACACTTTGTATAGGAGTACTGCGTTGTCCCTACCTTAAAGAAAAGCTAATTGCTTGTCTAGAAACTCATCATACCCGTAATTTTATACTGGTGAAATCTGTCTCTCGGACAGCCGATTCAAGTCGCCGCCATCTCTCACGATCCTGGAATCAACTTTGGAGAGATATAATTGAAAATATCGATAGATTGTGTATCGGTACAAATGTATCGATTGCATCGTCAATTATTTGTTTTCGATTTTCCCACCTTGGCCCCGTGCTTCCGTGGAGCAGGCAGCCAACGCAAGGGACGCGTCCGGTAGGATATCCAAGGTTGAGATGGAGCTATGCAATGAGCCCGTGTGCAGGAGCGAGATTGATAATTATGAAGCACCGTGGGATATGGCTTAGGGGAAGGCCGTCATTGTGGCCTCCGTTAAATACACCACCCCTCTGGCTGTGGCCAATCACAAAAGACCACTAATTCCTAAAGCATTGCACAACCCCCCCGCCACTCCGGGCGGAAACCTCTCAATTCATAGTCCATAGGCCAGATACAAATTTGGTAGCATATCTTTAGAAGCACCGATGCGCTGATATGGCTGAGAGTGATTTATGTTGATAACCCCACTCAATTCAAATGGTTAGTACATGACTCGCGGTGATTGGCCACCCCAATACATTGGAACCGATAATCTGTGCCACCTGCAGGTGGTATCGGCGAGTGAAATATCTGGCTTAGGTTCGTAGACTGTCATCTCGGGAGAGCACGCATCTCAAACAGTGGGAAGCGTGACCGCTGATTTATTAGATAACATTTATTCCACCAAAGGCTGGCTTTGAACCCATGTTGCTACCCCCCACGATAGTCGAGATCCAGAGGTCGACAACCAAAGTAACAAGAAACATTTTTGTTTTATTCGGTAAAACAAACTCAAAATTTCGAGAGCCGTAATGCACACGTGGTGAGCACGAGACGGTGGGTCCTCAATAAATAACGGCACGAAGCAGCAGTCCTTCAAGAGCTTCGTGGGGCTCTCGAGCTGCAGGTTTCCGATTTTTGGTCGAGACCATCCACTCCTGCACGCCATGGATTGCGCACGCTGGACATCCTCATTTCACACCGTGACACTGGCTCTCATCCCGTAGGCAGCATGCTGCGGCATGGATACCGTGCAGGATTTTTTTTTAAAATGTGCGTGGGGAACGTCAGCAACGTGGTAACAAAACACACACCATGATACAAATTCCTAAAAATCACATTAGTTTCAGGTAAACATGAGTTTCAGGTATTTTTTTACGTGCGTGGAACTGAAACTCGTGTCTAACACCTGCCAGAGAATGACTTGACAGCATGAGAGATTGGTACCAGGAAGGTGTGCCTTACTTGAGCATATTGACACAAGACAGAAAAGTGGAGAGAAATTACGAAATGTGCAGTGGACATCCTACGGTTAGCATGGCTGGCTATGTTCCGGTGCGAAAGAAATTCAACGTACATCACCATCACGATCCATGGGGCAGATAACCCGTAGGTGTCCGCTTCACATTTCATGCATACATAAGGGCTCTCTGCCAATGGATCGTGATGACAATGAGGAGCAGAAAACACACTCATACACAATGTGAAACACCGCGTTAACGAGAGGCGTGGACGTGTGATCAATCGATGTATTGTGGCCTTAGTAACCTGGGGCGGGGGGCAGTGGATTATCCTTTCGGGGGCTCCATACCAACACGGCTGGGAACTGCTGTTGTAGTCAGTCGCATGTTCATGCCGCGTTGACGTTTGCATTGCCCCACATGACCACGAGAGGGCGACAACGAGCTGGGAAGCAGACTTCCAAACCACGGTTGAACCCCCCCCCCACTCACCTTTGGATGAGGTCAGGCCCCCCTTGAGAGCCCTCCTCATTGTAATGGCTGGAGTCTGGGGAACTGCGGTTACACGAGGTTTTAATTGCAGGATTTCTCTGTGACAAGGACGCAGGGATTGTTAATGTTACCGGGCCTTAATGTGTCCTCTGTGAGACAAGACATGGAAATTGGGCCAAAACGGAAAATAGCACGGAACACGATGTGGTGGAGGGGTGATCCTATTGGGGGTGGAGCAAGCTCGGCCACTATATATTATTGAACTTCTTTCGCACCATACATAGCCAACCGTGCTAATCGGAGGTGCAGGCATAATATTTATTTGGAGTTTGCACGTTCTCCCCGTCGGCATGTGGATTTTTTCTCCTGGTCCTCCGGTTTTCCCCTCCACATTTAGAAACACGCGTTTAGAGTATGACGCTGCAATACATTTCCACGCGATAAGTCACTTTGTTGAGCTATCATTTGTGACCAGGTCGCTTCTGAAAAAGAAGATCTATATGGCTCACATCTAACCACCGCGTTTTGTGACCTGGTTTGATTGTGCCCTGGTCGTTGTGTTTGGGGTCGATGTGTGATCCAGTGAGTCCTGGGGTAAATGGTCGTCGCTCAAATACAGTAAACCGATTCCGTGTCACCAAGACAATTGTTGCCCATTAAAAATAAAGGTTGGAGCCAGTGGCGGATCGCGACATCTCAACTAGGCGGGGCTGTTGTGAGTGACCTCTGAACTGACGGTGTTCTAATTAAGAAAAAGCTCGTCGTGTTTATTGGCATTCTCGTGAAAGTGATATCACTGTTTTATCTAACAACGGTAGTCATTTATAAAACAATACGACTACAAAACAACAAATCACTCAAATGCTGTCCCCATGACCCTAAAGTCCACACTACACAACCCCTTTGACACTGACGAAAGCCTAAGGAACAATTAAAGATCAGTCATCCCTTGAAATGGAATATTTAGGAGTGACTCGTGTTCGTTGCTAATTCTTCTTTTGCTTGCACATGCTGCCTTTGGCACTGCTGTTGTTTCCTCCTACAGCGTGTAGGCCGTGACCTACTCTATTTGCACGGTGCAACCTCGCCTTGTGACATCGCCTCGTTACAGCCACGGGCGCCCTTTTTTTTCACCGTCCTGAATGGGTCTCAAACGGCGTGGCTAAAATGCGATGCTAATCGCATTGAATGAAGGGGGATGTATCTCACTCGGACGCCTTCACAGCCACCCCGAGACCTCCCCGAGGCACAACTCAGACTGTGGTGTTGCAGCGCTTTCAAATATGAACAACTTAAAATGTTATCTTCATTTGGAAATTAACGTTGAAAGAATCATATATTTTAAACGCAACAAATTTTGTTATAATTTTTTTTTATTAGAAAATAAAATTCTCATCTCCAGCGAATAAACGGGTAAACAGACACAGGGAGAGAGATTGGCACAACGAGAGGCACACAGATACACAGAGACAGAGAGAGAGACACACACAGGGGAACAGAGAAGACATCGAGACAGAGAATCGGAGAGACGACATACAGGGACAGGCTCTACAACCGTCCAGCCCGCTGCCCCGGCAGGGAGGCAGTTCGTGGGGTCGTTTCGCCTTCATCGGTGCTTCACGCCGGACCGCACTCGCGGTTGAGGCGAGAAGTTCATTAAACAAACATCGCGGCGCTCCCCCGGGTCCTCTGTCGACGTCCATCCATCTCGGGCTGCTGGGGCATCCGCCTAATTAACGCGATTTGTTTTCTCTCACTGCGGAAACCCTAGGAGAGACAGAGAGAGAGAGTGGGAGCGGAGCAGGAATGGCCCCAGTTATGACCCCCAGGGCTCCATCCCAGTCCCCACCTCAGGAAGGGCCCCCGGACCACGGGGGGTAGAGGAGGGGGGGTCATTGAGAGGGTTCGAGTCTAAACGCCACCTGTCACGGCTCACAGCCACCTCGCAGAACTCGCTCCGTCGCCGTGTCGCGCACGAGGCCATTAGCGCCCTCGTTAGCTATTGATGGATTCCCTTTGCCCGGGACGGTGTCGATGAGGCTGCACGCTGCTCGATCGCAGCGGGAAGGGAGCCCCTTTACCTGCTTTTAGTTCAAACGAGAAGCAAATTAGGACCGCTAACCTGCAGGCAATTACGTAATGGACCAGATTGCATGCGTAAATCGTAGCGACCCCGTTTTATTCGGCCAACGAGATACCCGCGTTGCGTTATTCGGTTTTGCACCGCAATAACAACATTTTATTTATTTTGTAATAATATTTATTATAATAATTGTAATAATATAATCACTATTTATAATATTTACTAGAATTATAAGTTATAATATTTAGAATTATAATATTGTATAATTATATTTTCCGACGAAAGTGTATGCGATTTGATTGATATATTTTGTTAGATGGACATATTTTTCAAGGTTTCTCTCTGTGGTGTGTATTTTTTTTATTTCCGCTGTGTGGTGCAATACAGCGCGAGCTACTGCAACACGTGACTTCGACATTCTCCACGTGCCCGGTTCGAACGGTGGCAGCCGTGAACTGCCCGAGTGCTGCCGCTGTGCCGTGCGGGATAAACGCCACTGCACCGCCGCACGACTCTCCACGTTCAGGATCTATCTGCGATTGGGAGAGTTGTTGGTGTTTGTCAGCGATGTCACCATGCATCGATTCACCCATGAATAGTATTGATTTTTAAGGTCGGGTGCGGGATTACTGCTTGGCAGGATCGACCTGTGGATGCCTTCATCCAGCAGTAGATTGATCAGGGCTGCTGCTGCTGGTGGTGTTGATGATGAATCTGACTGTACGTGGATTGACCCCCACGTGTAAGAATAAATGTTTAGGGATTCGCGTACGCCTCGAGCAATGGGCCCCCGTAACCCCTGCAACCACGAGAGACCAAATCTCAGTGGGTTCTTGAATCGAATCGTGGACTCTGAATTAAGACAATCCGTCGAATCGCCGCGGTGCGGTTTGGGGTCATGGGGAGGAGGGTGGGCGATTGATTCATCATTCGTGTTTATCGAAGCATTCTTTATTTTCTCCGATCTTCACCGACAATTCTGAGTCATGTAAACATGTCAGCAATGTATTTTTAAGCGTTGGTTGCACACAATTGCACTTTTTTGGGTTGGTACGGTAATTGAGGTTTTATTTTATCTTATATCAAAGACCGACAACGTGAAACACTACACAATGGGAGAGGCAATTGCAGATTTGTGCTCATTAGTCAGTAGCCCGGTGCCTCTGACCCATCGCGTGGCCACCACCCAGTGGGACGTTTGGAAAAGTAGGGCAGAGCTCGCAGCAAGAAATGTCTCTTGTCCACAGTCGCTGACGCACAAAGAGAACCGGTGAACCGTTTTGAGACGGCGTGACACGCACTGGGGATTCCAACCCAGTAGACACGGCAGATTGGATCAACCGTCGGATCGAACGGTGAGGCCAAGGGTTCCCAACCGCATGGCAACGTTGGTTCCGACGTTGTTGCATGTTTATTGGGTAGGTGGGGTGGCAGGAACCACCACCATTATAACCCCGTATGCCACCGGTCTTTTGTTTTCGGTACTGCAGGGCAACCATCACATCGGTGACAATTGAATTTACTGGACGTTTGTTGGAAAAAATTGCTTCATAGTTAATCGAATTCATTCAGTCTAAATAGAGATTCTAATTGTGCAATAAAGATTCTGAATCACCCCCCACCCCCCCGAACCCCAAACATATATGATTTTAAAAAAAATATTCTAATGCCGCTCAGGCATCTGCGTAAGCGAGCGGTGCAATTCCTCGGGATTGCATTGCTGTATCGTAACGAGCTCACTGGATGGATGTATATATATACACACACGTAAGTTGAATCTAATGAATTATCCCTGATATATTTTTTTATAGGGCACGTGCAATAGCAGCAGCAGCAGCCGGATGTTACGCGCGCAGGCGGAGCGGCCGCGGTGCAAGCGATGCAATATTGATGAGATTCTCTTTGCACAGCTTTGCCTCTCGCCCTCCTCGCCTCCTCGGGGTACACGTGAGCGCCTGGTGCTGCTGCACACGTGTGGGCGCGTGCGTGTGCGTACACAACAGGCAACGGGGAGCGTAGTGGTAAGAGCACTCCGCTCACGACGCCACGAACCCGGCTCCCAGAATTCGATTCCCCGCTCACGGACAGCATCGGTGACGATGATCTCAACCGGATCCCTGGGCCTCCCCTAGGTCGACTCGGCCATAAATGAGTACAGGGTGCCAGGTGTAAACATCGCCACTCGGGAGACAAAAGTGGCCGGGTTGTGGTTGCTGGCCACCCATCCCTTCGTGTGCCGTTTCGGCCTTCATAGGTGCTCGCTAACAGCACTTTCCCCAACCGCATGTTAAATGCTATAGGGGGGGATCTTTAATGGTAGCGGATTCCATAACCTATGATGTATACACTTGTGCGCGCGTGTATGCGTGTGATGGAACACACGTGAGCGCACGAGACAGCGCCAGGCAGGGATGCACGCTGGTCAACCCTGGAGCTATAAATACACACGGGCAAGATGTGTGTGTGTGGAGATGAACTCGTGCACAGCAGCAGCAGCAGCGGCAACTCAGTAGCGGTTTCCCTCACGACGGCGCTCATGCCAGACTGCGTGCCCTTTGAGGCTGAATTAAAATGTCGAAGACTCGCCGGCATGAGGTCATGGGAGCGGACCCAGGCGTTATCGGTGGGGTTGTGCTCTTCACACACACAAGGACACCAATCTCCCGTGTAGGCTTTAGGAGGCTGTTGGGGCAAGTGCTGTTCGCGATCATCGGCGAAGGGACGGCGCACCGATTGGGGGTGGTGCTGTTAGAAGCACGCTCCACCCGCCTTTTTGTGTCGATGTTTCCGCACTTCACCGGGTGCTTATTGACAGCCGAGTCGACCTAGGAGACGCCCAGGAACAGGCGAGTATCGTCACCAATGATGCCCGTGGCCGGGAATCGCAGTGCGCGCTGGCTACTGCACTACCACTCCTCAAGCACACACACTCACACACTTACCCTCTTGGCCAGATCATCCATGAGCGAGTCCAGAAAACTGTCCCACCTCAAGGTACCAAACATCTTAGTAGCTCCGATTTATCTCCACGGCCAACGAGAGTGAATCACTTCCCAATGGTTATCACATCATTCACAGTTCTGCTGAGGGCCACATTGAGAAATTGGACAAGTGAGATTACTCGGCCGGCGGCTCACGGACTCCGCGGGTGTTCTTCGTCGCAAGGTCCGCGGACTACAGGAGGCCCCTGGCGTGCGGCCCTCTGACAAAATACAACACGTCAGAGGCTTTCGCGACCAATATCACCCATAATACATGGTTTTGTGGGTTAGATCGCGTGAGTGTTTACATGTGTCGTTAAATCCGCCACCACCCGACACAGACAATGAGTAAGGTTTGTCACGCAAACAACACATGCTAATTCGTTACCAGTACAGCACACCGGTGTGTTTGGAGAGCAAAGCCACTACATTCACAATCTGAGTACGACGTTTCACCGGTAATTACAACTAGCTGCTGCCTGGTGAAGCTAGTGGCATGTTCTGTTTAAGTGACAAACCTTACCAATGGGCTGTGTCAACGGGTGGTGGCCGGTTGAACGACACTTTTATATATTTACGCGATATAACTCAAAAAGACATGTATTATGAATACACAAACATGCGAAAACACGCCATCGTGGTGTCAAACCCCCAACGGTTTGAAATGTGTGACGACCTCCCCCACACTGATGATGTCCCATCGGCGAAAGTTGCCCCCACCCAACGCCACCCGTCTGAAAATTCGTGAAGGACGACTGCACTAAGGACGACTGCTGGCTGGTTCGTGTCAGGAAGGAGCGAGGAAGTAGCTTTGAACTGCTTCCTCTGCGGCAGTGCCAGACACCGCACCACACGCGAAGCCTCTCCGGGTTTAATCGCTTTGTTGTGCCACGATC